AGGCCATCAACCATGTGTTGCTATGGAGGGTCATCATTCTGGGCAACATGGACACCATCGTGGATGGCTTCACCATCCTGGCCCCCAATCACCATGCCTTCGACTGCATAAACAGAAAGGAGTTCTCCACCATGGTGCTGCAGGCCTTCATGGATCACAAGGGATGCTTCACTGACGTCAATGTCAGCTGGTAAGGGAAGGCGCATGTTGCCCGCATCTTTCAGAACTCCTGTCTGTTCTGAAGGATGCACACTGGCACTTTCCCCCCCCCCGACTGCACCATCAGAGTAGGGGAGGTGGACATGCCCATAGTCATCCTGGGTGACAAAATCTACCTCTTGCTCCCCTGGATCATGAAGTCCTACATGGGCAGCCTGGACCCCACCAAGGAGCACTTCAATTCCAGGCTGAGCAAGTGCCGCATGGCACTGGAGTCTGCATTGGCCATTTAAAGGGGAAGTTCAGGAGTCTCCTCACCTTCCTGGACCCCAGCAAGCACAACATCCACTTTGCAGTGGCAGCCTGCTGTGTGCTCCACAACCTTTGTGAGAACAAGGTGGAGACTTTTCTGCCAGGGTTGGGGGCTGATGCTGAATGTCTGGCCAGGGTTTACAAGCAGCCAGACACTAGTGCCAGCAGGAGAGCACATCAAGGGACTGTGCTTATCAGGGAGGCCTTCAGGGAGAGTTTCACTCAAGACAAATTATGAAAATCTCCCCTGAACTCCTCCACAAGATGCCCCTGTGTGCCTTTCCTCCCCCATCCCTCCCTTCCCCTGCCATCACTTCCTATCTTCCCCCTCCCCTGAGGAGCAAATAAAAAAGCCTTCTTTGTTGATACAACAAGACTGTTTATGGGGGCGGGAGCTATACAACATGGGAGGGATTGGGGAAAGAACCTGGAATGAGGGAGGGGCAGGAAGAGGGAGGGGGCTCAGAGATGGGGATAGGACTATCACCTGCCTCTGGTTGTTCAGGAGGCTTTGGTTGTCCTTCAGGTCCCACTGCCATGTCCCACTGCAGGAAGATGGCTGTTGGCATGTTCCATGCATGAGGCCATGTGCTCCATCACCAAGGCGAGGGAGGAGCACATGGCCTCATACTGGTGTGCCAGTTGGTCCCAGGTGGCCTTCTGCTGCTCCCAGTCAGTGGCCCGCTCCTGGCACTGGTTCTTGAGGCCCTGGATGAGGGACTGAAGACTCCTGCAAGATGGTTCTTCTGGGTTCTCTTCCTTCTGCGGATCCCACAGAATTGTGAAGATAGCGTGGGAGGTGGGGAACATGCCAAGCTTGCAGCTGGCTCAGCTGTGAAGAAAAGTGGCAAGGGCAGTCATCCCAGGGATACTGTGTATGAAGCCTAGCCCTAATCCCTGAGCTAACACTGAAGGTCTAAGTTCAGATGATGGTGATGTGCTTTGATCAAGGCCATATGTTGTCAAGATAGCAAGCACTTTCCAGCAGGGGCACAGATGTCCCAGGGGAGCATTGCAACACCCACAGCCCAGGGACAAGTAGACATGAGAAGGTGTCAGACACGCCAGGAGCCTTCGAGCAGGAGGGGGAATGGGGTGGTTCGGCTTCCTTCTGTGTCCCACACATGCCTGGTCTGGCACTGGTGGCATCCTGCAGATAGAGAACTTCTAGCCTTGCCCGCTGGAGGAGGGAAGGAGATGTTGGGGGAGGTATGCGTGAGTGGCAGATGCCACTTGCTGGAGAGAGTGCTAATTGGTTCCTCTCCTCTTCTTCCCCTGGCAGATTCCCATCCATGCTATCAGTCTCTTCCATATTGCCGTGCTTGACCAGGAGCAAATGCTGCCCGAGTGTGGACATTAGCCTCTGCCATGTGCGGCACTGCTGTGTGGTTCCATGACCCCAATCTCCTTAGTTGTGGCTTGTCACAAGAAGGTGTCCCACCATGGAGGCTGGAGTAAGGCAGGCCTGTCCAGGAACCTTGTGAGAAGGACCTAGGGGTTCCTGTGTAAGAGCGTCATGGGGCTGAGTGCTCCGGACTGGCAGTGCATGTGTACCCACGTGCACAGGAAGTTGTGCAACCTCCAGGCTGAGTAGGCCGAGTGAGGAGCATGTAGCCCCTCACAACCCGTCGCCTGTCACCATGTGTAGATAGGGAAAGTTTTAGAACTCACCTGAAGTGGCTTCCCCAGGATTATCTGAAGCCTGGGAGACATGCTGGGGCAGAGGGAGGAAGGAGAGTGACTGGTTCCAGGGTGAGGAACAGCTCCTGGCTGGTGGGCATGGTTGCCTGGCTGGCCCTCCTCCTTCTCTGCCTCCTTGTCCGCAGCCGCACCCTTCTGGAGTCTGACGCCAGGCATGTCCTGGAGAGAGTCCATGACGACAGGGGAGTGTGTGTCTGGCCTCCCTTGCAGGATCACATCTAATTGCTTGGAGTAGAGGCACATGTTTGGTGCCACCCAGAGCATCTGCTCTGCTCCCTGGCATTGTGATAGGCCTGTCAGAGCTCCTTCAATTCCAGGCAGACCTGGTCAAGGGTCTGGTTGTGGCTCTTGTCAGCCAAGCTGGTGGCAATCTGGCTGCACATGTCCACATTCCTTTTCCTTGGGCAGAGATCCTGGAGGTTGATCTCCTCCACCTCAGAGCTCAATGAGGTCCAAGATCTCCGCACCAGTCCAGGCCACAGCTCTCCTGTGTCCCTGGATAGTGGCAGCCAAGGGAGCAATAGGAGTGCTGGCAGCCATCAGAGGCTCTGAGGGAGCATTGGGGTCTGTCATGGCTACTGGGATGCTGCTGTGTGACTGGGGCTTGGAAAGGTGGCCACATGCTCCGCAGGAGAAGAGGAGCAGTGGAGATGGCAGGTGTGGCCAGAGTGGTCAGAAGTGCAGCTGTGAGAAGCCTCTGCAGGCCAATTATTTTGAATTAGCAGCACAGGATTGTCTATAATAACGCTATTTTGAAATAACAATTTCAAAATAAGCATTATTCTCCAAGGAAATCAGGATTACAAATTACGAAATAACCAGCTTGTTATTTTGAAATAACCGTCTTGGTAGTGTGGATACTCTGCTTATTATTTTGAAAAAAGGGTTATTTCAAAATAACTCCCTAGTGTAGACCAGGACTAAGATGTGTATCTGCAAAGTACATTCTGTGGGCTATATACACAATGGCAGCAATGGGAGATTTAACACTCATAATTATATGAAGAGACTACCTATTATTTGGCATAGTAACAGACTGGAAGTATTGGATGAAATTCTGGCCCAAATGAAGTCAATGTGAATTTACTGTATATCTTGTTTATATTGGGCTGCATTCAGGTGATAGTCTTCTGGCATTTTTTACACCAACTTGGACTCATTTACCAATGTGTAACTTACATCCTTGTACATGTCACCTCTGGATGTAGCCCACTGACCATAATGGATGAAATGCTGGTCCTCTTGAGTTTAGAGAGACTTTTGCCATTGACTTTAGGGGCCCCTGAATTTCACCCAATGTGGTATTTTTCCAATAATATATTAGCTCTCTGGCAGAATAACAGTCTCGGTGGCCTACATCTTTCATTAATTTCCCTGAAAATCCCTCCTACGGTGTGATCTAACTACAAATCAGCTAGGTGCACAGAGAACATTCTTCTTACAATTTAAAATGTGTGAAATGCATAGACAATACTGTGCTCAGTGTTACTTCACTGAGCAAAGTGCATGACTGCATAAGACTGCAAGGACATTATTGCTAGAGCTGGCTGGAAAATAGAATTTCTGTTTCATGGGAAATGTCAACATTTTGAATGTTGTTTTCATTTTAAATCATAACAAAAAGCTGAAATTTAGAAATATCCCATGGAACAGAGACACTGACAGATTCTGATTCAGAACCATAGAAATAATTCATTTCATTGTCAAACTGTGATATATAACTGAAAAGTATGATAAACTTAGTGTAGTATAATAAAAAAGCCAAAATAAGATGAAATAAAATAAAAATAAAACATTCTAACATCTCTTAAATGAAACAAAGAAGTCAAAGCAAATAATTTTTACTTTATACCAGAAAAAATATCAGTGAAATCAATATGTTCTCACAAAATTATTCTATGGTGATGGAACTGTATTTTTGATGGAAAACTGTTCCACCAGAAAATGTTGACTAGCTCAATATATAAAGATGCAATTCTTACTATTATGGGATATACATCACAAAAACCAATGAAAACACAGAAGCAGTAGAAGAAACTAACAATCAGAAACTCTGAGATAGCAGCAGTTATCTGGCTAAAAGAGATGAATTCCAATAATGGCACAAACCAGTAGGAGAAGAAAATGAGCCCGAGAAAGAGAACTATTATAAATGAATGTCTACTAGAGAAGATCTGAGGGGACATTGGTTCTTTTAGTTTGAATCACTCAGTGTTAGTCAGGAATTTGCAAGAAGCTTCTCATTCAGGATCCAGTCTTGTAGAACTTGATTAGACAGAACTCATTGGGCAATCTAGAATCACAGTTTAATGATAGAAGGAACCATTAGATCATCTAATCAGACCTTTTATATGTCACAGGGCATCGCCGCCACCTTACATTTGAACGGAGACCCGAGCAGTGCTTTTTTTGTGATGATACTGCCCAGTACGAAGTATCAGCATCCCCAGACGCAGAACCGGCACCTCCAGTCAGAGCTCAACAACTTTTCCCCTGAAGTACCGGCACTTTTTTTTTTTAAACAAAAAAAGCACTGGACCCAAGTATTACAGCCCACAGGAGACTAAACTAATAAGTGCTACAGGCAGAGAATTAGGAGGTCCCAAGGTACAACAGTGCCCAAGGTCCCCTCCAGGCCAGTTCTGCTTGTGTAAGGCTTGCAGGATTGGTCCACCACTGTTGCTGTTTATAAAATACCGATAAGTTATTTAAATATGTACAAAATGGCTATCAAAACTCACCAGGTTTCCTACAAATCTACAAGCAGAGTTGCATTAATAGAATGGGACTGAGTTTCACGCTAAAAGGCATTGTTTAAACACACTTACTTGGCAAAATTGTTTTATAACGGTTTTTAGTTCCGTGACTTGGGATAGCAATTTCTTTGGGATCCACAAAATTCATCGGTATTTCCTATAGAAATAAATTAGATCAGATTAGTGTTTTTAAAGAAGTCATGCAGGAAATTCTCACTAGAAGACCATCTGCTGCTTCACAAATATATATTGACATCAAAGTATTAACAAAAAACCTGGTTCCCACCTCCAGACTGTCAACACCCTTCCTTTAATAAACACAAAAGCTGCACATTGAAGGGTTGATTTCCAAGGAACAGTTCTGACGAATTATTAAAAGCAAAGGTTTTTATGAGGTTATAAAATAGCTTAAAGTAAATAACAGTAGAAGGGGGTTGAAAGTTTGCTAGTATGGAAAAGGGTAAGGATTTACACACCATAGTTAAAAAACTGCCTTGTGTGAGAACATTCTCAAAATTCGTACATATTAATGTGTAACAATCACATATAACTTTCAATGTGTAGCTCGCAAATCCCATAACAAGAGTGTGTAAGCACCCAGAGGTGCTGGAACAATTTGTAAAAGGGGGATGCTGACAGCCATTGAAACACACTGTAAATAATATATCATGGAAATCACTTCAAGCCAGGGGGTGTAGCAGAACCCCCAGCACCACTAGTTTTGGCACCAATGCAAGCACTGTATCCCCATTTTATAGCCCAGAAAGCTAAGGCACAGAATTAAGTGATTTACCCATTGACATGCAGTGAGTCAAGGGCACAGTAGGACTCAGCCCATAAATGCCCAGAACAGCCTCTCAGATTCTGACCTTGGTGCCATACACCACAGCCCTTCTAGCCAAAGCTTATATGAGTGCTGAGAAAGTGGCAGAATTTTCTGTTGTAGGCTGGGGAGTGGGAGGCATAGGAATAAAATCTCTGTCCCTAAACCCAAGTGCCCTGCTCCCCCACAGAGCATTGCTTAACTGAGGCTCTCCAAGTGCTTCACACACCTGAGGGAATTCACTCTCCCTCCCTGCTGGGCCAACAGAAGCAGGAAAATGAGATGCAATACAGTCAGTTCCTGCTGCCGTGATTCCCACCGGCTCCCTACTCTGTTCCTGATCTCCCCATCAACCAACCTCGTAACCTTCCTGTTGACTTTTCCTCCACGCTCTGACTGCCACTGAATCCTTTCTGATCTCTGTCCCTGCCTCTTCCTGCCTCTGACACTAACTTTTGTACCCTATCTTAGTCCTCTGTCCTGGGCTCCTGCAGACTCTCCCTCTCTGATATTGCTGCCTCTCTCCTTGTTCTCTCTGAGCCCAGGCAAAATGCAGCTGCTAAAATCACATCCCTCCCCTGCCACTCTGCTCATGTCACTCATTTTGGATCCCCGAGACACTCTCTCTGTGCTTCTGCATCAAGGGCAGACTTCTCTGCACCTGCAAAGCCCTACCCAGCTTCACTCCCATCTCCTTCTCCTTTTGCTCCCCCATGCTCAGCCCCAGCCTCCTCCTTACCAACCCTTGGAAACCTCCCTGTCACCTTTACGCTGCCTATTGCCAGATGCTGGGAATAGGCAATGGGATGGATCACTTGATAATTACTTGTACCGATTATTCCTTCTAAAGCACCTGGCATTGGTGACGATTGGAAGGTAGGACACTGGGCTAGATGGACCTTTGGTCTGACCCAATCCTGCCATTTTTACAGGGCTGGCCTTACCATGAGGCGAACTGAGGCGGCTGCCTCAGGTGCCAGACTGTGGGGGGAAGGGGGCACCATTAGGACCCAGAGTGTAGAAAATTGTGTCTGCTGCTGGTGCATATGTATTCTCTCTGCTCTAGATGCACAGAGATGGTGGAGTGCTGTGCTGGAGGAAGAAGGGTACAAGAGACATAACAGGCAGGCAAGAGAAAAGGTGGCATGGGGGCGTCATTTGAGCTCCCCGCCTCAGGTGCCAAAATGTTGTGGGCCGGCCCTGCATTTTTATGTTCCACGCCCCTACTCCTTCTGCATGGAACAGTCTCTGCCATTCCCTGTGTGTCACATGACCGCCAGCTCCTCTTTGACATCTCTCCCCAGAGTTCACAGCTCCTTACAGTGACCTTGTAAGATCTCCGCATACAGCCTGGTATACTCTGAGCCTGAATTATTCCATTGTGGTCTGGACTGGATTTTGAACTCTTTGGGGACAGGGATTGTTTCCTTTTATGCTAGCTGTAGTTTCCCTGATTCAGGAACAACTCTGCATAGTTGGTAAAAACATCGCTGGCACTTTGAAACTAAAAACACTTTGTTGTATTTGCAGGTTAAGTCATACAGTCCACGAGATAGAGAGCAGTGTGTTTAGATGCTGCCTGTGATATGTCTAGGCAGTAGAGGGCGCCAGATAGATTCCTCAGCCTACAGCCCCAAATAGGCTCTGGAGCAGTGGAAATCAAAATTTTCCAGTCTTCCACAAAACTAACAGGATTCTGCCCATTGAGACCAAGTTTGGAATTGGTCAGATGTAGTATTCAGAAGTCATTTCATTACAGACACAGATACAAAGAGCCTTGCTTTTCTGATCCAGTTAATTCTAATCACTTGCAGCCTATAAACACTTACTAATGATTGTTGTGTTTACTCAGTGGGATTACTACCTGCGGTAAGTGTTTGTACATAGGGCCAAGACCATAAACAGCTCTCTAAATTTACACAGTGCTTTATAAACATGGACACTGCACTTACAAAAGTCAGAAGAACATGACTATGAGTTCAGGTCAGAGATTATGTGGGGATAACATACCTGCTAACCAGTTCGCACAATGCAACAGGTTTCAAATGAGCATTCATTTGCATATAATTGCATTCACAAGCATGCTACTATTTTTCTTGCATTTGCTACCACAAAATAAATCAATGACAAATTCTTTAGCTGCTTTTTTATTGAATTCTCTCTGGCCCATTTCATTCATTCACATTCACTTTGTTCTTGCCCATATTCAAAGTCTGCACCCAACGTTCCTGCAAACCACCTGTGCTCATCCATATGTTTGGTCATTGGGTTGCCCTAGAGCAAAGAGTTGGGGAGGAAAAGTTGTTGAGCTGAGAGGTGGGGAGCCGAGAGCTGGGGGCCATTTTCAGGGGCGCGGGGGTGGTTTCACGAGCTGTGGGTTGGCCATGGCCCTGTGTGATGGGATGTACTTCCCACACTAGCCCTGCAATAGCTGAATTACATCAAGTGAGCCCAACTAGCCAATTAAGCTGCAAACAGGGGAGATTTAGGCTGTGTGATGTGAGCTAATTAGAATAAGCTCACCTGAGAGGGAGCAAGCAAGACTTCTATAAAGCCAGGAGGCTGGCAACAGTGTTAAGAGGAGCAGCAGGGAGAAAGCTTGCAGTCCCTTTCTCTGAGGGAAGGGAGAAGAAAGAGTCCAGTGGTGAGAACATTAAGAGTGGTGTAAATGAAAAAACTGATTGTCCACTTCAGGGCCCTGGACTGGTATCCAGAGTAGAAGGTGGACCTGTGATGCCCTATCAACCACCGTAGATACTAAAATTTATTCCATTTATACAATGTGACACAGTGTTTGTTTTACCAACGAGGGATTTTTTTAAGCAGATGACTTGCCTCATAAACAGTGTCTCTTACAGATGAAATAAAAAGATTTGACTGATCTGATATAAATCATAATAAAAACAATTTGGGATCCACAATAACATCATCTGTTTTACTGACTATAAATGCAAAATTCAAAACAGAGAAAAGTGCAAGGAGCTACATGCCCTAGTATTTTTAATAAAAATGAAATTGTTCATACTCTTTTGTTATATCTCAAACATCTTCAAGAGAGCTGTATTCCCATTTGCCCTGATAGTATTCACGTTTTCTGACTTTATTAGACTAGCGCTATTCAAATTGCCTTGCAAGGTTTGTTTGTTTTTGCTTTTATTCTAATGAAGAACGTGCTCACCATGAACTCTGTTTGAAGCAAGTGAGAGCATGCGACTGTATCTCTCAGCTGCTGTCTTGTCAGTACCCGACTAGCTGACTGTAGATATTCCATTGCTACTTTTTCTCGTGGGGTAGGCACAGCGACAAAAGGTTCGACATTTCCCAAACTGCTCATGTCCAAAGTCAGGGAGACATTGGATCCCCGCCTACAGAGGAAAACAACAATACATTAGCTCCCTATCTAATAGCGTTATTATATAATTTATAACTATGTACTTGAACCTGAATTACTTACACACTTTAAACTTCCACTGCAGTCATTGGGAGTTTTAGGTATACATAGAATACAAAATTGGCTTTAATGAGAGTTTTGGGTGGGTTAAAAAGCAACAGCAGGGCAGATAATTTTGGCCTGATCTTTCAATCACTCAGACATGTGAGGGATCCCACTAAATGGAACTGCTCACATTTTGTAAATCATATGCGTAAGTATTTACAGGATCAGGACCTCTGTGGTACATTTGATCTGACGGATACAAAAAGAACATTACATAACCATTTCTACATGGTGGGCACATCAAACTGCAAAAGCCAGATTCTTAATAGTAAATGAACCTTGTAGGCACTGAGGAAGAGAAATGGGTTTGAGAGGAAATAGAAACATTAGAATATTCCTTATGGTGGAGGGAAGGAAAGCCAGAAGCTAAATTCTAATGTCCACAGTTTTTGAAAAATAATATGCCCAGTCATGACTAAGCTGGGCACAAAACAAAATCCTGGGTTTGAAGACACGTGACATTTGGAGAACTTTCTGAATTTCAAAGTTCTGTGAAAATACAGTAAGAGAAAACAGAAAAACAAGTGACAGGTTGGAAAAATAGATAATTTTTAACCTATTTTGAAGAAACTAACTATTCAATGTTATATTACACATCTGCAGAGAAGAAGATTACTATGCAAGGAATTGAATATTGGAGCCTTATCTGCTGTGGATATCAACGTAAAATCCCTCTGACATTAACTTTTACTGTAATATGCTGACTTGAGTTAGCATGCTCGCTCAAATAGAAAGCTCTCTTAATCGAAATATCTAGAAAAATGTCTCAAATTTTTTGCTGTAAAGGTAGAAACTTTAGACTGGCTTCACACATCAAGGGTTAATTAGCTACATCTGAGCTCATGACCTCCAGATGAAATTCTCTGAATCCATTACCAATTCCTCTAAATACTTTTCCACCAAATACGGTAGTTAGGGGTTCTTTGAATGCTGTCATGTATCCTTTAGTGTTTTAATAAATCTGTACCACAATAAATAAGTTTGATGGCAAGTTCTGAAAGCATGTGTGTGTGTAAAACTGCCTACATCTAGAATATAAACTATTGTATATTGTCCATTAAATCCTCATGAATAGGAAATGCTAAAAGCAACCAGTTAGTGATCTCCTTAAGAGTGGATGCTCCACATACGAAAAAAAAAGTAATAGTTACCTAAATGATGTAAGAGTAACCTCATTTACAGCTCATGGAAATCAAATAGAGTAGACTTTAACAATCTCCTCAGATGTGAAAGATGTCTTTAATGTAAAGCACAGATGAAGCAGACAAAAAAACAGTGTAAATGTAGTAGATGCAAAAATAATAGGAACACAGTTCCAAATCAGAAGGGATACAAACCATAATAAATGAAGTCAATCAGAGGCAAAGAAATTATCAGCGGACTTAAGGAGGATTGTGCACAGATAAAAAGAATGCTTCACTTGAAGGACATCAAATCATGTTTTCTGCTTCAAAGGAAAGCTTTATTCCATGACAGATTTAATTTTGAAAAATATGAAGAAAGTAGTGTCACACTTCAGGGTAACTGTCCCGGTATCTCCCCACTATTGTCCAGCAAGAGCACCCTCTCTAGGCTCCCAGTTGCCTAGCCATTATCTTTTTTTTGGTTGGAGATACTCAGATAGCAGAGCTATTTCCAGGCTAAACAGCTTTTTGCATGCATTGTGAATCTCCCAGCTAAGTCAGATGGCCTAAGCGGTCTTGCTTTTCTTTTTCTCCTCACACATGGTAAATAGTATAATGGGAAAGTTAAAAGTTACTACCAGCTCATTCTAAGCAGGAACAGTTATATTTAAGGAAAATGTATTATAGAGAACACATATTAAAACAAAGGAATCTAAGCACATACTAATAAGCTTGCCAGAAGTCACCCCAGCTATGTTTACACAGCAGCATTATTTTGGAAAAACTGACATTATTCCAAAATAACAAAAATCCACTTCTATACTACAAGCAGATATTTCAGCAGAATGTCGAAATAATGTCGAGCTGGAGGACTTCTTACTCCAACTGCTGTAACTCTCATTGTATGAGGAGTAAGGGAAGTTGGAGGAAGAGTGCTCTACCTCAGGCTTCCTGCTGTGTAGACAGCACCAAAAGCTGAAATAAGCTATTTTGACTTCAGCTGCACAATTTGACATAGCTCAAGTTGCATAGCTTATTTAATCTTTAGCCCTGCTGTGTCGATGTGCCCCCGACTCCAACAAAGGTTCTGGCTGCTGAACAGTCTTTTAAACCCACCCAGGAGTTTCCTGGGGTTACCAGTTCATCACTCCTTTTATTCAAAACAAGAATACTGACTAGATCAAGTCTCCCAAAACCTCCTCCAGGAGGGTCCATTTGCTGGATCCTAATAAAGGCTCTTAGCTTTAAATTGGGCTATTTAAGCAAAAGTCCTTGCTTTGTGTACAGGTCCTGGGAGAATCCAACTTGAACCAGTATATGCAAACCTCTGTACAGTTGGTGGTGTTAGTTCTTTGGGTATAGTACAACTGAGTGAATCTGCCTAAGCACACACCTTCGTTGTGGTCTAGAGTCATGCCTTCCAGTAGTGGGCAGGGGAGTTAGAGTGAGGGCAACAGTTATTGAGAGTTATTGAGCACGGCCAGTCTATGTGAGCATGCTCAATACAAGAGAAGCCGCATGTAACCTCCTTATGCTCCCCCACCCCCATGCATTGCCTCTGCCATGATCCCCTTCTATCATAGAATGACATATAATTTCTAACCCAGAATGATAAACTTCATGCAGTGAAGCCAGGGCTTTGTCTAGCCGGGTCTTAAAAACCTCTAGGGATGGAGATTCCACCACCTCCGTAGGGAACCCATTCCAGTGCTTCACCACCCTGCTAGTGAAATAGTTTTTCTAATATTCAACCTAGACCTCCCCCACTGTAACTTGAGAGTATAGCTCATCATTCTGTCACCTGTCACCACTGAGAACAGCTTCTCTCCATTCTCTTTGGAACCCGTCCCCCTCGGGTAGTTAAAGGCTGCTATCAAATCCCCCTCCCTCTTCTGTTGACTAAATAAGTCCAAATCCCTCAGCCTCTCCTCTTAAGTCATATGCTCCAGCCCCCTACTCATTTTTGTTACCCTCCTCTGGACTTTCTCTAATACGTCCACATTGTTTCTGTAACAGTGGGTCCAGAATTGAATGCAATACTCCAGATGTGGCTTCACCAGTGCTAAATAGAGAGGAATAATCACTTCCCCAGATCATCTGGCAATGCTCTGGGTAATGCTTAGGTTAACCCTAATTCTCCCACATGGCAGCACTTTGGTTGGTAAAAGATTTTGCTGTCTCCCCCTCTCTTATTTCATTGCCAGGGGATCCTTTCAATAATGTGAATTATTTATTTAATTTATTTATTTAGGACACTGTTTATCCCCTGTCATTTTATATGAATAGAAATGACTTTGATTGCCTGGCTGTCATTTAAAAAATATGTATTTATCAAAGAAAGAAAATCTTTGCTGGAATCAATGATGCTCAAGATAAGACTTTCCGTACACAAATGTATCTGATGGGTGGCTTATAGCAATAATTTTGAACACAGGCCCCAGTCAGAGACGGTTGTAGAGGTAAATCAGAGCTCAGCTGATGGTAGCTATCTGGCTGCCTTTTGGGATGGGCTAGGCTGCTTTACTTGATAAGGCCCTCAGGAGTGGGAGAAAGATAAGAATCTATCTGGGAAATGACATTTCCAGAACTCTTGCTCAGAGGAAAATGATGGAGCTTGCTAGATTAGTAAAGCCACACGGATGGCATACAACATGTGCTTGTATCAGCCAAGACACCCATTGCCAAACCTTTGCAGAACCTAATGTTATTGGAAAGTAAGCAGCTGTAGACTAGAGAGTAGGAGAAGCTCATCACAGATAGGAGTGGCTAGCAATTCCTGAATGGAGGCAGTTACAGGTAGATGTGGTAATTTCTTGCCGCTTGCCCCATGCTCCTTCGATAAACTAGAGACCCCATCAACAGAGCATTATAGCTCAGATATAGAGCAACTGACCTGCAGCAAAGAAGTACGATTTCCGAGGCAGTGGCCTATCCTACTCCTCAGAGCAGACACTGGGATTAGGACACAGGTGAATATGGATACATTACTACCTGCAGCCACAGCAACATTTGATTTTATTAAAACTATATTACTGAACACACCATTAACAATCTAAAGGGATGTTCCACACAACCCTGGCAGTACAGATTAGTGGTTCTCAACCATGAAGTACACTGAGCCCTTGAAGGGGGTATGTCAAATAATCTAGATCAGCACTTCCCAACCTAAAGCCGAAATAAGCTACGCAACTTGAGCTACATCAATTCCTAATTTGTCTAATTTAGCTTTTGCTGCTGTCTAACACTCTTCCTTCAACTTCCTTTCCTCCTTGTACAGTGAGGGTTACAGGAGTTGGAGTCAGAAGTTCTCTAGCTCACCATTATTTTGACATTATGTCAAAATAACTGATTGTAGTGTACACGCTATGTAGCTATAGCCTATTAGACAGATGGATTCCAGCTATTTCATGGTTATAGGCCAAAAAATAACCTCTTAAATCAATCTGGAAATCAAAAGCACAAAAAGAAGGTGGCAATGAGCCTGCTTGCCTGTACTGTTCTTGGCTGAGAAAAAAATGTACCAAATTGGGCCCAATTATAGCCCTCTGAAAGACCCTACTGATTTTTGTGGGTAAAAAATATTCATATTGTTTTGTAACAAGGTGTAGCTAAAATGTGAATATTTTCTTTGGCTTTTACATTGTTATATCTGGCAGCCTTGGCAAAAGAGCTACTTCCTTTTTAACAAAAAGAAATATGCCTGATCTAATTATAACTTTGAATTTATAGCTTTTTCCATTTCAGG